AGCGGGTCCGTCGCGGGGTTGCCGAGCCCCACACCCGCGTCTGTGCTGCGGGGACACCGGCTCCCTCCCGAGTGAAGCTGGAAAGAACGCCCGCGAGGAGGACCCAGCAAGTCCAGCCACCAGCGAGGCTACGTCCTGCCTGGTCATTGGCTCGTGTGGGCGCTGCGCCTTCTGGGTAATGTAGTTCCCAGGGTCTGGAGGCGGCGGGGAGGAATTCTGAGGTGGTCCTATTAGGACAGCGGTTCTCAACCTGTGGGTCGCGACCCCCTTGGCGGTGGAACGACCCTTTCACAGGGGTCGCCTAAGACCATCCTGCATATCAGATATTTACATTACGATTCATAACAGTAGCAACATTACAGTTATGAAGTAGCAACGAAAATAATGTTACGGTTGGGTCACAACTCGAGGAACTGTATTTAAAGGACCAGAAGGTTGAGAACCACTGTAACTAGGAGGAATTCCTAAGTGGGAAGGGGGAATCCTGCAAATGCGTTGTTCCCACCTCCCGAGAGGGGCTTTGTTCATGGTTATGGCAATGTCAGAATGTCCAATACTATCCTACTTTTAAAAAAAAATTTTTTTTTTTTATTGATTTCAGAGAGGAAGAGAGAGGGAGAGAGCGAGAGACAGAACAATGATAAGCCCTAGCCTTTGGCTCAGTGGATAGAGGGGCAGCCTGCGGACTGAAGGGTCCCAGGTTTGATTCTGGTCAAGGGCAAATGCCCTGGTTGCAGATCCATCTCCAGTGGGGGGCGTGCAGGAGGCAGCCGATCAATGATTCTCTCTCATCATTGATGTTTCTATCTCTATCTCCCTCTCCCTTCCTCTCTGAAATCAATAAAAAAATATATTAAAGCCCAAACCGGTTCGCCTCAGTGGGTAGAGCGTCAGCCTGCAGACTGAAAGGTCCCAGGTTTGATTCTGATCAAGGGCATGTACCTGGGTTGCGGGCACATCCCCAGTAGGAGATGTGCAGGAGGCAGCTGATAGATGTTTCTCTTTCATCGATGTTTCTAACTCTCTATCTCTCTCCCTTCCTCTCTGT